ACACACACACACACACACACACACACACATATTTAAAAAGTTCTCTGACAAAGATCCAACATGGTACTCAAAGTCAAAAAGTGATGAGGAAATGGGTCTGTCTCAGTCCCTAAACTCAAACTAAAATCTTACCAGCAGTAGAAAAGTAAAAAACTGGAGAGGGCACTAGGTGGGGGTAGCCTCCTCACATGCAGAAGTGGCCCCGGCCTCCTGACCAGTCCAAGACCCTGGAAAGAAGAAAGCAGAAGAGGGACCACAGTTCAAGGCAGACTTCATGAACAGCAACTTCACCCACTAGTAAATAGGGTGGTCCTTAGAATCTAATATGATTAGCCATTCTCCCTACCTCAGGGGGCTTGGAGGAGGAGCAAAGAGAAGTGAGGGAAGGAGCAGAGACCTTGAGTATTCGTTCCTAGAAATTGACAATAATTATTAATGAAGGTCAATGTTTTACTCTAAGCCCAGTGCTTTAAGTGAGTGCATTAAGGTGGTTTGGTAAAGGAACTCATTAGCACATAGGTGTTAACTGAACTTTTTGGAGGTGAGGACTAACATCTGGGACTTATCAACCAACTGCCCACTTCTGGAGAGTGACAAAGAGCAAAGGAGGAGGAGAAAAATCAGGAGAGAGCAGGGTCAGGAAGGAAAGAATTCCAAAAAGGAAATGGTTATCAGTATCAAGCTGTGATGGTCAACATAAGGACTAAAATTTGGCAATGAGAAGTCACTGGCGAACCCAGCAAGAACAAGTTTAGTGGTGATGAGGGGAGTGGCCGGGCTTGCCCATCTGCACATTGCTTTAAAAAGCCTGGAGCCTGTCCCCATCCCCACGTAACGGCTGATTCAGCTGGGGGGGGAGGGGGAGATTAGGATTTTAAAAAAATCTCCCCAGGCCATACTAATGTGCAGCCAGGGTTAAAAACTACTGCTTCAGTGAATTGAGAATTTAGGAACAGAAAGAAAAGTGAGGGCAGTACTTTAGTGATGGTCAAGGGGTTCAAAGGGTTAAGGAAGGGTATTTTTGTTTGAAGATGGAGTCTGAACATGTTTGAATGCAAAACTGTATGTGCCAGGAGTGAGCACTGTAGCTAGATGGAGCGACAGAGGGACCTAGGGCACTGCAGAAAGGATTCGTCTTGAGCAGGGCAGGTGAGGGTGTATGTGAGGGTGTGTACGTGGGGACTCCTTTCTAACGCTCTGTTATCTGTAAAGGGAGCGATAGATGAGCTGCTGAGGTTGAGAGGAGGGGGTAGAAATTTTTTAAATGGCCAGAGTTTGCAATAGCTGCTGCTAACAGGTGGGAGGCTGAGTGAGCTAAATACTGAGAGCCATTCAAAATGTCAGCAAGATTTTGGTGTGGTAGAAGCTTGCACAGTCATGACAATTTTTCATGGAGAAATACATGGCCCAATGGAAAGAGCAAGCTACAGAATCTACTCACAGTGAAATGGGTTGATTTAAGTCAAAGCCACCACGCCATTCCTAAGTTCTCTGATATTCTCTTTCCTTTTTCAATTAAAAACATTGAATGAGAGAGCTGCACGGGTCAGAACTCACTTCTAGAGAAAAAACACATTAGTTTCCATAATTTATATCTTAACTATTTTATATTCCCACATCTTGATAATATCTAGTAAAAACATTTTTGGCTTGAGGTACTTTTAAATGGTTTTCAAGATAGAAAAGGCAAATTATATGGTGCTTTAAAAGGCTATAAAAATTGAAATGTAAAGGTAAACAGCCTACACATGTATATTAATCATGGTTTTTTAATTTTCTGTGAATTATGTCGTCTTGACACCTTAAGAAACCTTTCTGGCTGGGGAGAGACTGCTTCTCCTAGGGCTAGCCAATTCTTAGAAAGAGCAAAGGATTCGGCCAGCAGCACACTTTTGAAATACAAACTTACCAGGGATGATGGAGTCATGCCTCCTCCATCTGACCTGTACACCCAAGGAAGCAAACATCCCAGGGGAGCTATGAGGCAACTAGAGACCACTCTGTAGCCCAAAGGACCCCAATTACCCAAACTAGCCATTCCTAAGCTGTCTGCCCTCTCTGCCTTGCCTTTCAGGAGGAAACCCCCATAAAGGCTCTGGCCTACACCTATCATTTGCTCCTGGTCTTCTGCTTCCTGTTCCAAATCTGATGTTTGTCCTGTGGCCTGGCATGGCAAGTTGTGCATTGTTTCTAGGTAAACTATAACATTAAATTTTTCTTTCAATGGCATTGACCTCTACATGTCCTCACTCAGTCACCTTTATAAACTTTTAAAAAATTATTTCAGAGAGGAAAGGAGACAGAAATATCAATGATGAGAATCATTAATCAGCTGCCTCCTGCACACCCCACACTGGGGATCAAGCCCACAACCCGGGCATGTGCCCCAACCAGGAATCAATCCATGACCTTCTGGTTCATAGGTCAATGTTCAACCACTGAGCCACGCCAGCCGGGCAGTCACCTTTATAAATTAAGAGCCGGGCACAGAACCACATGAGCATCCAAGGCAATGAGACTAGACTCCTTCTCCTCCTTAGATACACATATTCCCCAAGAGAACTTGGGTTCATAAGCTTTAGTAGTCAATTAGGGCCCAGCCCAATTCATACAAATAAAATCTAAAGAAAAAAAATGGTCATTTCAAAACTTTTAAGATTAAAGTTCTGTATTCTGAAACACTGAACCCATGAGTCAATCTATATATAACGTGCTGTTGGTTCTCAACCCCTGTAGACGCACTACTTGAAATGTAAGACAATAAATAGGATGTGATTATGTGGGATAACTGAAAATTGATTTTTACATGTTGTGAATACTGGGATTAAGTCCTAGCAAAAGATTACTGACAACTCAACAGGTATTTACTACAAAAGCTATGTCCTCAGGGTGGTTTTTCTTCCAACTTCTTTTCTGTTTTTCACATTTGTGAGTCATGCTTTAAAGGCTTCAGCATTGTGACACTGGAAAACACATAACATTTTCCCATGAAACTAAGAGACAATGAACAAGAACCATAGTCATGAATGGCAGTATCTTACACAAATGTTTTACTGTTGTGAAAAATGACTCTCACTCACAGACTAAAAATTCATGGTTATATTTTAATCCACTTATATTTTAAAACATTGTTTCCATCCATCTAAATTTGGCCTTGATGGCATTTTTCTCCACATTATCCTTTCTCAATATTTCCAGGTGATTTCTCAGGAGCTTGAGGGAAAGGGTATGGGAAAAAAGACATTAACAGTGGCTGCAAAATATCACACACAAAAAAATCTCATTACTTTTTAAATCCTCACCTGAGGATCTGTTTCTGTTATTGATTTTAGAGAGGGAGAGAGAAACATTAATTGGTTGCCTCCTGTACATGCCCCAACCAGGGATCGAACTCTCAACCTGGGTATGATGTTTTGACATCTTAAGAAACCTTTCTGGCTGGGGAGAGACTGCTCCTGCAGGGCTAGCCAATTCTTAGAAATAGAATTGATTTCTAGAGTTTTGATGCCCTGACCCGGAAACAAACCCGCCACCTTTTGGTCTACAGTACAACACTCCAAAAAACTGAACCACCCGGCCAGGGCAACATCTCTCTTCTTATGGAGAGTAGTGTAAGAATACCTCAGAGCTCAGGAGGTTACCAGTATATTAAGTTTTTAACTGGCAAATCGTGTGGCTCTCAAACACCAACCTGCACCAGAGTCCCCTGGAGAGCTTGTAAAAGGTTGCTGTTCCCACCGTTTCAGATTTAGTGGGTCTAGGGAGACTGAGCTGATACTGTTGGTCCAGGCAGGCTAGCACACTACCGTAAGCACCTACCCCTCTTCCCCTCGCCTTCTCACTTCGGACCTTGCCAAGACTGCTCCATGGTGAACATCCTCAGGACATGCCCCATTCCTCAATACTGTGCTTTAAGTTTTTTTTATCCCCAAATTTGGCAATTTTACCAAGTGCCTGTCTATAGATAGTGGCAGGAAATTTTCTTCTTAGTCACGTTTGTTTTGCTGGGCTTGTTAAAAACCTTATAATCCACACTTTTGAGCAATATCACTCCTTTTCCTTGGTACTGTTCAATGCTGCTGCTCCCAGGCATTTGACATTCATCTGTTGTGATCTTAACATAAGCGAAAGCATCTCTGGGCCACTGTGTGTTGGTGCTAATAGAGGAACCCACCACTTCCCTCACCTCTTCCCTCTTTACCAGTGTCTCATTGGGTAGGATCCCCTCTTGATTGCTGCCACCATCAGTAACTTCACTGTCAAGACTGGAGTGGGAGATAAGGAAATACTGACAAGTAAAATGGACAGCTTGAGCATTAGCAAAGGAAGCAGCTGACAGCAAGCGCAAACCGCTCCTATCATCCCTCCTGCCATTCCTGAACCATGACACAGGTCCTGCAAGCCATGCCCCTAACTAGACTATATTCATAGCTGCCGGAGTAAGCCACGCTGCTCTCATCCCAGCCCAGATAGAGCTCACCAGACACAGAATACTGACTATGGCCCCTAATGCTGTTTTTACAAAGCCCAGGGAACAAAACATGTATGGCTCAGAAGCACGTCAACAGTGCCGGTGCCGGCCGAGCTCCCTTCTCTGAGCGACTTCTGTGATAACTGCCCCTTTACTTTGCAGCGTCAGACTCCCACTGCTGTGGTCTCAATTGTGTTTCTGATTCTAAAATGCAAAGATGTGTCAGATTAATCTACTTGGGACTCATAAAGAATTTCACTCCCTGTTCTATGTGTGGAGTTTTAGTTACCAAAGATGCCATAAGCAGCACAGGTTAGATTTATTTAAGCTTTTGGTCATTTTGCTGCCTAACTGGCCTTGTTTGCAGCCTGTTTCACAACCCAGCAAAACAATGCATTTGATTTCTAAAGAATTCAAGTTAAAAGCACACACCATCAAATACCATAATCTGTCCCCAAATTTGGCACCATTTAATCTGCTACTAATTTCCTCTTCTGAACAGTTCTTATAAAAAAGCAACAAGAATTGTGATGCAAATGAAGTTGTTCCCTTTAAAATACTGCATCTGAAAAATAATCTTAAATTCCCTTAAACTCATAAGCAAAACTAACTTTTATGAATGACAGTAGTTGATGATGTCTTGAGTTTTGCCTATTTGGAAAATACACAGGATTAGGATTCAGACAGGCAGATGTGTAGACAGTTGGGACAATCCAGAACCCTGAAATAAGAACATGGAACTCAGCCTGTTATTACTTTCGAGCAGATAAAATACATGTAAGCTCAAGGATTAACCTCAAAGGAATTATTTTTTAACATACGACAAAACCTGATTTTGAAATTATATCTTTTGTTAAAAGATAACAGACTTTTCTTAATTTATGACATTATATAGTTTGCTACATAAAAAAGACTTAAAATTTAAGGTTCAAAATATACTCGTTTCTAAGGTTCCTCTGAAATTGACTCATACAGAAAACCAGCAGAATAAGTTAGTAATTCTGTAAGCAGGCTCATGCAGCAGCTTACAAGAACACAATTTAAAAACTTGTGTTGCAAAGTACTAATGTGCTTAATTGCTATTTTCTTAGGCAATTAACTTTCTTCCCCAATTATTATAGGTAGATATGACATTTTTTGGTGATCCCTGTTGAAGGTATTTGAAGTATGTAGAAAAGCATGCCCACGAAAGATGATAAACATTCATGGCATAGTGTTTCCTCTCTTTCTCTCTCTATTGTATTATTATTATTTTTTTCTGTTTCCCCTCTCTCTTTCTCTCTCTATTGTATTATTATTATTTTTTTGGTGGAAACAGAATTTATTGAGGGATAAAAGAACTGCCCGCCACAGGGAGAGAACAGGCAGGGGGACCCAAGTGGGCTACCCCATCACATACTGTTTCAAAAACATAGGTCCCAGAGCGACTCAGGTCTCTCAATGACAAACAAGAGATTAAAACCCAGGGCAGAGAAAGTCTGAAAGCCTGGGATTTTAATACTGGCTTGATTATGTGATTTTGAGTAAATCACTAAACTGTGATTGCTCTTGTCTCTGTAAAATGGCAGCAGTCACCTGCCTTTACAACATAGAGATGTTTAAAATGTAAAGTTGTATATGTGTTACTTTTTAATTACAGGTAGAAAGGAGAACTGTCAGACAACATGCCATGAAGAAAAGATTCGACCTGAACTATGGAGGTCTTACTAGGCTATGCTCACAGGACCAATCTCTGCATGAGCCACAAAGCTTAGTGCAAAGAAAATGAAATTATGTCCAAGGATTTCTCCCTCAAATCCAAAAAAGTATGTTAGAAGTGTGTGCCTCGGGACACTATGGGGACTAGGTAAGAATGCACCTATGACAGTAAGACCCACTTTCACCACTAAACAATTCAGTTGTACTATATTGTATTCAACAGACATTCCACCTTCTCCATGGCAGGGGTGCAGCCTGCAGGGGGCAGTACACTCCCCACCACATGAGAACAGGGATGCTGTGTTGGCTTCAGCACTGCTCCTCACCCCACAATCTCCATGTACCCTCCCTCCACTCTATTCCTTGTTAGGGACAACTGACATGGTCTCAGTCTCACATAAAGTGCCACATAAACTTAGCTTAAGTCCCCTCCTCAACCAGACTCACACCAACCCCTCAGATGAGGAAATCCTGGAGCTACCACTGACAAGAGCTGTAATTTTTAGGGGGAACACGATAAAGCAGCCTGCCATCATATTCAGTGCGGGAAAGGGACATCTGCCCCTCAGGGAGAGGAAGCTCTGTCCCACTCAGCACCTACTGAAGCATAGAAAAGTCCAGGTGCAAGAGCGGGCATCCCCTAGAACAGTGCCAGAGCAGTGGGCACTTAGAGACTAGTGTCTGCGTATTTCAGAGTAAATGTACTAAATTTGTAAAAAACAAGAACCCTTCTATCAACCAGGGCCCTGAATGCAAGACGCTGGGTAATCTTTTCTTTAGAAAGGGTGGCTTCCTCCAGCAGCTCTAGGCAGTCACTTATTCCTCATCTTGACAAAAGAGCATCAACTTCAGGCATGGATGTGTACATAACTCTACAGGCAGCTCAGCTGTCATACACATGGCAAATATAAAGGCATGTCAAAAGACATTTTTCCTCCCCAAAGTATAACCTCAAGAAGCCATTATTATAATAGAGTATGAATATCTGCTGCAGGTTATTGACCTGTAAACTAACAATAGAATCCCGATTAGTATGTAAAGGCTTACACTGCAACATGAAGTATTAAGACACAAACCACTGACTATTCTAAGTTTGCTGTACAGTTGAACCATCTTCATTACCTCAATCTGTGTGTGTGTGTGTGTGTGTGTGTGTGTGTGTGTGTAAAATGTCCTCTTTCCATAGAACACCAACTTCAGAGATGAGGCAAAGTACAAAGCAGCTGCTGGCGATCCCATGGGCATCTAGGAGACTGGAAGGAGTCCCCAAGTCCCTGCTGCTGGTGTTGCTTCTGAGGCTCCAAACTGAGACCTTGGTGGATTTATCTGATTGGCACTGTGAGTAAAGCAAGGCCAGGCTGAAAGGCAAGCCTTACCTACTGCAAGCACAATTCCACACACAGGTCTTAACTCAGTGTTTAAATTTGAATGGAACTGCCTGCAAATTGGGAACTTCCTCAAGTGATATTAAAAGCTCTACACAAGAAGTATGCAAAGAAGTTACTAGTTGTACAAGAAAAAAAAAGACACACCTGCAAAAAAGCAACAGCTCTGTAAATGGAGCTGTAGGTAACTGCTGAGACAGCAATAGCGATAACAAATATAGCATAGGATGACTTTTTAAAACAACTGCTGCCCCAATACTTTACTTTTAAAAAAGACACACATTTCCACAATATGATTTTCTAAGAGAAAGAGTCCACTGCTTTGTTTGAAGAGGAAGGAGCCAGTCCTAGTGATAAACAGACTGGGAATATCAATTGAAATATGCAAGACTATATAACACAAAATCTAGTATTTGTTTCACAACACCCGCTGGCTCCTGGTGGGCGAACTACTGCTCTCTAGCTGCATCCAGGGCTCTTTTCTTGTGGCATCTTAAAAAATGTGGCTGCAGCTGAATCGGCGGCTTTCTCTGGGGCAGAGGTCCTGACCAGCCACTCAGTGTTGGGAGATTTCGGGGCCTGTAGCGCTGGTATGGTTGGCTCCATCACATCCACAGGAACTGATGAGATTGCTACAGTAAAAGGAAAAAGAGAAAAAATCCAGGGGAGACAAATTAGAATGAACGTTACTTCAACCCAAAATATTCTTAATCCTTTTATCTTATGCCCTACTAACCCAAGTGGGCAAATAAGGTTTTTCTTTTTTCTTTACAAAGAAATAAAGGCCAGATGTAACAAAGGTAAGTATTTCTCTACCTGAAAAAATGGATTTAAATGAACAAGTAAGCAAATTCAGTAACACAAATTCATAATGTAGTAACTATTACTTCTTAAGCACTTATGTGCTAGGCACTGTATTATGTAAACACTGCATTCATATCTCATTTCTTGCAAACTCTTAGAAGTAAGTATTGTCATCTCCATTTTTCTGGATCAAAAAATGAGCCATACAGAGAGCAGATAAATTTTTCAGGGACAAAACAGAGCTGGTTAAGTAGCAAGATTCAAACTCAGTGGACTCCAAGCCCTATGTTCCTTCTGTCACACTCCATGACAATGTCACCAAAAAACAGTGTGATAATAAGGAAAATGGTAGAAAATCACACAATCAGGCCCAGTTTTTCAACAACAATACAAACACATTCTAGACAGAATAATAATTGCTTATGCAGGACTGTCCTGTATATTTTAGGACACATCATTCTGACCCCATCTACTGAATGCCAAAAGCACTCCCTGGTCCCTGGGACAAGTAAACACTGTCTTCACATTTCCAAATGCCCCCAAGCAGAGTAAACCACCCTCACACCCACTGTGCCAATGGTGAATATACAATAACAAAAAGCAAAATGTAGAGAGTTCTGTTTTTACCCTACCACTCAGTAACTCCACTCCTGGAATGTAACCTAGAACAGTAATTTTCAAATTGTGGTCACAAGATCAACTTAGTAGGTCATGACCAGTACTTTTTCTTCTTAATGAAAAGGAATAAAAAATATCAGATTGTATATATATAATCTGGATTATTATTGTATATATATAACCAAGGAGATATATATATATATATATATACACACACACACACACATACACATATATATACATACATACACACTAGAGGCCCAATGTACGAAAATTGTGCAAGGGGCTCAGCCCTCGCAGCCCTGGCTTCGTCTGGAAGGTCATCCAGAAGATCATTTGGTTGTCCAGTCTAATTAACATATTATGCTTTTATTATTATACTAGAGGCCCGGTGCACAAAAATTTGTGCAATGGGGGGGGGGATCCCTCAGCCCGGCCTGTGCCCTCTCGCAGTCTGGGAACCCTCGGGGAATGACCACCTGCTGGCTTAGGCCTGCTCCCCGGGGGATTGGGCATAATCTGGCAGTCAGACATCCCTCTGGCAGTTCAGGAGCCCTCGGGGGATGTCCACTTGCCAGTGGGGAGCAGGCCTAGCTGCAGTCGGACATCCTTAGTGCTGCTGAGGAGGCAGGAGAGGCTCCCACCACCACCGCTGTACTGGCAGCCATCAGCCTGACTTGTGGCTGAGC